TGGTGACTTTGATAAAATTTTAATGTTGTCTTCAACCGACCGGGTAAGGGGAAGAAAAAAAACTACCATCGGTAATTCTTATGTGAGAGAAGGCTCTGAGCCCCCAAACCAACGTCTCATCGGGAAAATGAACAAACGGTCCAGAGATCTTCACTAGATCAGGTTAAAAAATGGCCCGATGTATGTCTAAGACAGCAATCTTTTTTTCAGCTTCGCTCAGATTGCCAAGAGTTTTCCGATATTCTCCGAGAGTAACGTAGTGTCCAACCAGTGACAAAATACCAATGCTCCGGTATGCAGCCCCTGAGCTTCTGAGCTCATGAAACAAGCTCTCAAAACTAGAAATTTGCTTTGCTTCCTTAAAAGCGATCCAAGTGACCTCTCCAAAAGTTAAAAGGAGATTCGCGGGAAAATAAGAGTTTTATATTCTGAGTCCTAAAATCATCCCAAATCGTTCGGCTGTGCGACAAGGAAAGAAAAAACTACAGTTAGAGGGAAATCTTCCAGGTTTTTTTTTTCCAGATTCCAGCGCCCTTTAAAAGTCGATTCCTGATACTGTCCTGTGATTTGCAAAGGTACCGTGGGCAATAGAACCACATGCGAGGATCTGAGTCGGTCTCTCCTAATGGGGTCGGATGATCAGGCCAGGCACTAAGGCATTTCTGTGAAATGAATTAGCAGGATGTATAGGAGGACTGGGAATGGGGTCTAATGGGATTCGAGGTAGAAATGAGGAGAGCACTGTTGATGGTGGTTTGCTGGACAATGATTGGAATCGGGGCGGGCGGGGGTTGGGGAAGGAGAGACAAACATCACCCCTTGAATGAGGGTGCACGCGTCACCTCAAAGCGATCACTACGAGTATATGCTGTGCTGTGGTTTTGGGCACAGTAATTTCTTGCAGTAGGACTATGTATCCGAACAACAGGATAGAAGTCTTCATAGGGCTACGATTAATTATGCAATGAAATCCTTGGGAGTCAATAATCACTTAATATCACTCGTCCACTCATCCGTGGTTCCGGTGGGAGGACTTCCTCAGGTCCTCAGATGGCTCGTTATGGTCTTTATTTTGTTTTAAATTTAAATCCTAGCCGAGGGTAAACTTTATCGTGGTTCTTATTTTTGTTCTCGTTCATTCTAAGTTGAATTTTGACCGGTCTTTCCTGAACAGAGGTGCTCAGGGAAGAATGTGAACGCAAAGGTCTGGGGAGCTCTTCTACATAATTTTTCTAGCCAGTCTATCTCTTCTTCTGATTGTTCTCAACCGTGTTATTGAAATTATAATTATCGAGTTGTTTTTACCTCTTGTCATGGAAAAATCGCCTTCGGTTGGCACAAATATTTTTTCTCTCGATCTTTCTCATCATGTCGGGGTTGGGTTTTCTTGGGATTTATATAATCTCTTATGTTTTGCCTGGTTATTTCCTTAGCCTTCAATGACTACCACCATATCTTGCCGTCGTCTGACTCTCTTCCTTCTTCAGAAAGCATTGACGGCTATCAGGGACTATGGTGATTTAGGGTGCTTGACTGCTAGTTCCTAGACGGGGTAGTGTCTTGCTTGGATAGTGTTTTGAGCTGGTTTCGGTATCTAGAAGAATGTGAAGCCGAGAAAGATGTTTCCGAGTTCCTACAAGTCTTCACTTCAAGCTCAATACATATAATATGATCTAAGATATTAATCGGCATTTTGTATATCTAACGTAGGATCTACTGTGTTTTGAATAAGGTCACCAAACTTCATGTGAGAGCCAGCTCAAGGGAGATGGCCAGATACTGCTTTGGTATGGCCCACCGGCCATCTATCAAATAAAAGTACTAACTAATGGAACTCTTGGTTTACATCTATAGAGTTTAAAAATTATAAGAGTACAAAGACTCATGCAGCAATCCAAGGTGCAGAGATAGGGTGTTTTATGGGGAATAGTTTGGTGGCACCTTGTTACACCCGGACACGGCTGGACAATTAGGTTGTAGCTGCGAAAACATATACCGATTCAAAGGGTCCAGTGGAACGAAAAACGTCTTGTAGGCATTCTCAAGGAGATTGGGAAGAATCACCTCCGTGATCCCTAAGATAAGGCACTTGAACACAAATCTATCTGCAAAAGTCCCCAGTATTGAAAATCACCCCAGCTACCTATGTGGTATGGACTGCTCGATTTTTTCTTTCCCGAAAGATTGACTTATTGAGGATGTTATAAATGGGTTTTGAGATCAGGATTGAGTATATTGTAAGAAGTAACAGATTCACTATTTCAGTAATTTTACAATAATGGGATTAAAGGTTTCTTAGGCTTTTTTTCCCCCTAGAAACAACCTTCTGCTGTGAAGGAAATACTCTTTGCCTTTCCGGTTCTCCTTACACAGCCAGAATTTTGTTTTATCATATACTAAACCATTTTTTACTGGAATTGCAACTACTTTCCACTAGGTTTAGTATTGATTATTCTAAGTGAGAAGTTACTCTTCTTAACCAGCCGCTACTGTACACATTACTACACTCTTGCAACATCTGATTAGCTCTGTTAATTGAAATCAGCATGTAAGTTTCTACCATAATTCTTGCCCAATCTAGTATTTATGGAAGCTCATCTCATGTACTATTGTTCTTTTTGCATATCAAGAGAGCAGGGACAGCGCGATAATATGGAGAGGGTTATTTATTGTACTTTGTTGGAAGGACCGGGTTAGAAATTTTCAGTCTGTTGACTGAGGGTGGCCAACTATCTCGTCAGGTGATAATTTTCCTTCGAAAATCTTAGAACAAGCAAGTACTATCCTTTTCCGATGGGTTAAGCTGTTAGCATGATGTTTTGGGTAACATGGTTGACGTTATGGTAAAAATTATATAGGTTCTATGTAATATTGTTACCTTACTTAACTTGAAGATTGATTATTTATTTATCATTTTAGTAAGACTTTTGCATAGGGATTTAGCTTAGATATAATGCTAATAGACCAATGAATATTGATTGACTTGCTACCTTATGGTCTAACTTTAACAGAAGCTATGCACTAGCCCTACGCTGGCAAATGAGGAGTCTGCACTCTGTTCTTGGGTTTGGAGCAATTGTCAAAATTGGAATATCACGGTTAGAAAAAACTTGCATTTGTCTACTTACGGGAAAGGTGCTCGCATGACTAGGATATAGAGGTCCAAAGAATTCGTTAGATACGCGGAGAATTGGTAAGTATAGGACAAGCATTAGCTCTTCCCATGCGAGTGAGGATGGCCCCACAATGGGTGGTAGGTATCAGGGGGAGGTGTGTCTGTAGGAGCTAGATCCGAGAAGATGTTGTTGACTGCTTACTGAGACTAAAATACTCTCATGCTTATTTGCAGATAGATAAAAAAAAAAATAGAAAAACCAGTAATGGAAATGGTTGGCTGTCGTTTATTCCAGATGGGCGGCCCAAGACCGTAACGCAAATCCATATTCTGGGTGGAGAAATTGCTAGAATATTTCTCGTTTACCACGGCCCAGCTCAAGGAATCGCTTGACTTTCAAGTCGGTTATACATCAACAAGGTGATTGGTTAATATAGTAGTTAACTATGCAGGTGATTTTTGTGTTCATACCGCTGGTTATAGCGGACAGCCCAGTTCTGACTGATGGTTGCTGCTAACGTGGATCCTTATTATGATGATTTTTACAAATTGCGCACTGCTATGATACGTGAGGGGGGGTCTAGAGGGAAGTGAATTGTGTCTCCAATCGCTCGATTTCAGTCCAAGGATCAGCTAGTTCTGGCCCTATGGAAGTACTTCCAACGAGAGAATTCCCCGACAACTTCTGGCAGGAGCTTGTGATTTCCTGGAGCTGTTTAGGAGGTCATGCATCTTTTGGTTGTAGGTACTGTACTGGCACCTGGATTTTTTCAGGGAAGTAATGTTTGCAATGTAAGAAATGGTGAAGGAGTGGCTTGGTCGCAGAAGGCCCCTTATGGACAAATTAAGTCACTTTCGTACTAGAGAGTCAGTATTTCATCTAGTTTTTCAAATCAAAGGAGGGGAATTGTTTTTTTCTATTTCTTCTATAGTTTTCTGCTACCCCGCCCCTCAAACTCACGGCAAGGTGGATGGGTCTAGATTAGGATTCTACCACCTCGTAGTAGTATTGATTCATCCTACACTCTTATGGAGGAAAGCCGAGGTCATCAATCTCTCACTCAATCCACAAAGGTATTTGTAGTTTCTCCTATCCCATGCAGTAATAGCAGCTCATTGTAACCAAAAATTTATTTTTACTTAACCACCTAGTTAAACATGTAAAAGAAAATATTCCTAGAACTTTAACGAGCTCTTTAGCTCCTTTAATAATCAAAAAAATTAAACATTTTGGTAGGTTGCATGTGTTTTTTCCGGTTACAGCCACAAAGACCGATACTCAGGTTTTAGCTGTTACATAGTCTACTGTGTTTCTTCATAGGGGGACTCTTTATGATCTTAACAGGGAATGATGCTTTTGTTGCACTGTGGCGGTTTTGTGATACTACCTTACTACCACATTTTCGATAACCAGGAACCGGATCAATAAATCTATGAATAAAGGTTCTAATTACAGAAATTCTGTTAAATATGGTAAATACAAACTCCGACAAGCGTACAACCTTGGGGGCTCCTCCGGCTATGAAGTGCGCGTAGGAATTGCAGCATTGTGTAGTGTTAGAAAAGAGCTGGAGACGGCTTCTGTGGACATGCCATCATACTATCTCACTCGGCTTTTGAAGTCTTCTATCAATGGGCGTTTGAGTGTGCTCCGTGCCTAAATTTCAAAAGCATCCTTTGGTGTGGCTAGCTAGGTTGTAAATCTTTTTTTTCGGGGTTGTAATAATATTATGAAGCTTCAATTGTCTTGTTTTCTCCCTATTGGTTTAGCCTCTGGCATTGGGGTATACGTTCAACATATGGGTAGTACATAAATTTTTTAAAAAGCAATGTGGCTTTCTACAACCGCTGTGCTAATGGCTACGTATCTCATCTAAACAAAATTCTATAGCTCATCCTTCAGGGGAGTAGCTACGACACTCACCGCCTCTGGCATATTCATGATCTTGACAACCAATGATGTCCACCCCAGGAAGTGAGCTGTTCTCTGACCCTTACCGGTTTCCGCATCATACTGTTCCCATGCATAACCGGTGTCCTTCCAACTTTTGTAAACGTTTTCAACCACGTTGACCCGGAGCTCCTTGTATAGCTCTGCCGCCTGTTTTTGATGAGGGCCCTCCTTGGATCCATATTCCTAACATAACAAGGGTCAGACTTGATTCTGGCATATAGGTGGGAAAAACGCACCATTAATCTCTGGATGGCCAAATAGTTAATGTTAATCCAGATAGGGCCCCTCCAATAGTTCTCGCCTGTTCCATAGTATTCGTCCTTCTTGCTCAAACTTCTTAGGCCGTAATTACTCCAGAGCTCTTCAGGATCAGCTATAAGATCTAAAACTTTTCCAAGCTTTTTGGAGTCTTTCTCCATAAGCCCGAGTAGAAAAGGAAATATGGAAATATAACCCTTATGACAAACATGTACGCTCTCCTCAAAGTCGTCAATTGTAGCATCACAATAGGTTTGGTGCTTCTCGTTCCAGTGTAAGTCGTCAAGGTTTTTCTTGATAGAATATTCGTATTGCTCAAACTCTGCTACATCGTCATGCTCGCCAATTGCAGCAGCGATGCGCCTGATACAGCTTGTCATCATCCCGATCCAGGAAAGAAGATCAACGTGGAGTTCCCCGGTGTGTGGGGGACGGGCTCGTGGGTAATCATCGAGGCCAGATGTCAAGCAGTGTTCGGGAGTGCGTCCGCGCCAGCGGTATCCTTCCTTTTTGGAGTATGCGTTGCGATCCCAGCCGCGGATCTCACCAGACTGACTCTTGCGGTACCAAAAGTAATTGCGCCGAAGGTTAGGATAGATTGACCGTAGGTATTCTGAAGCCGCTTTAGGGTTCTCGAGGTGAACAGTAGGAAGGTCACCGGAAGAGAATAGGTTGTCGAATGACTCCTTATCAAGATATTCATTGGCTAGTGATCGATGGTTAGAACTTGAGGGGATTCACTGGGAGGGCGGGGCATACCTGAGTCACCTCTCTTTGATTGAAACTCCTCAAACTGATCGATGAACTTGGTCAAGACAAAAAATAATGTTGGGGGGTTAGCATAGTGAGGATACTGAGTCTGAAACTCTTGGGGAACCTTGCTGCGGGCCTCGTCTCCTAAAATTTGTTCTCTTGGAAGCCAGCCATCCCTGTCAACAAGGGATACCCAGCTTTTCACAATTTGAAGGGTTAAGTCCATGTCCCAGTCACTAATTGGCAATAGATGGAATCCCTCGTCCCACAAGAAACCCCTGGGAAAGAATGGCCTTGAAGGAATGCTCGTAAACAACTCAGTTGGACCTTCCAAATTTGCAGCGTCTGGGCGTGCCTGGGCAGCTTTAGCCTCTTCCCAAAAACCCTCATCTTCTTCTTCATATTCGGGGGCGTATGTACGATCAATAACAGAGGTGCCGTAGAAATGACCAATGCCACCAAGTAGATTTGAGAAGAAATTGCGGGCAAATTGTCGGTAGCGAGGGGCATTGAAAGGAGGTTCTCGCGGAAAAATATTTTCGAAGCGATCAGCGAAAGACTTGCCTACGGTCCGGATTTTTTCAGTGAGGATATCGGCTGGGGCGGTTGTCAGTACTAATCATTTCGGGGAGATCTTGCTGGGGTAGTACTGGTCATAGATGTAGGCGCTGAGGCCGAAGAGTAGAGAATGTCAAACTAAGATCGAATTAGTCTTATGGTCATGGCAACGACCTTTTGCTTCTAGAATCCACATATATTACCTCAAACCCACCCTCGAAAACTTTTTGAACCATGTGGAAATTCCCTGGACCAAAGGTATTTGGGATAGTAAAGACTTGCCACGGAGGTGGGAGATCCGATTCTCCATATTTCTCCTTGGCTTTAAGAAAGTTATCGCGTAGGCCCATAAAGAATGTATCTTGGTTTTGTTGACAATCAGTTTCATCTTCTGTCTTCTTTTGATATATAATGCTTACCTTTTGCTTTCCAGACATCCTCCTCCGGGACTTTTAGGGAACGGTACAAAGTACGATCCAACGGCTTCTCTTTCCAATATTTCTTATGCCCGACTTGCGGGGGTTTATTGGTGCCTGGCCCTGTGGTGATGTCTATCTTGAACTCGCCTAATTCTGGCATCGAACCTTCGAGCGTAACATCGCCAGCCAATCCTCTTTCATCGGGCTCATTTTGCAAGCTAAGGCTTCCCAGTCCCTCGAGGCCAACATAAAAGATCACCATGGTTTTCAAATCCACTGGGGCTACATTGACAATAAGTTTTCACTCCAAGCGATCCGGGTCCGTCTCCCATTACCTACCTCCAGGTCTGGGTATCCCCTTGACACGAACACCCCAATGGCCCCCTAACGTTCGAAGAATTATTATTAAGCCTACACCTGTCTTGATAGGACCAATCTCACCATTTTCTCCTCCCTCGATTTTTATAAACTCTGTGTGTATATTGATGGAATTTCCGGGATCTTTTATGACCTGGTGCCCTCCGGTCCTCACATCATATTCGTCCCATCCGTAACCCGCCATATCGTCACTCTGCTCGCATGTATGTCGCACGGCTATCTCGTGATCAGATAAAGCAAAGGAGGAGGATTTTTTTGTTTTTGGAACAATAAACACCGAGAAAATGACGTACTCTGAGCAAACGATGCAAAGTCATCGACCTTGCTCCACATCAAGCCAGCAATCATACTCTTCGGTATCCTTGGTTTAACCCCAAAGTAAAGATTTGGTCGGTAAGGACCCCACACTAAACTCTGATTTGAGACTCTTGAGATCTCATTGGCAAGGATCCATTGGCCATTGTCCGTGTTTGCTGCGGTGGTGCCGGGCGCCAAAAGAGCGGAGCAGACTGCTAATAGTGACAGCGTGAGCTTAGCCATCACGGAGGTGACTATCAAGTGGGGGAGAGAAGGAAATGCCAATTATGGGTTGAGGGAGTGTGAATGTCAGGGAAAGTGTTTGTTCAACCTCTGCAAGAGGAATTGGAGGAGGGGTTAGTTTAGTATGTAGAATACAGGTACTATAGACACGTTTCTCGAAGCATCGCCTTGGCCTCTCTGCCCTCTGTGCTACGGTTGCCAGGCCGACTTGAAAAAATGTCTTGTCCAGCGCTGTCTTGGCAGGGCGCATGACGACAGGGTTTTTCTTCTTTACCAGCCCACAGCTGCGATTGGTCAAACATTCTTCCTCTCAACCCTTTCTTCTCTTCAACTCTCCCATCCTCTTTCATCCCACCCACTCATCATCCATCGTTCCTTTTTCTCTTACTATCGCTGTTTGCAATTGGGCGGTTATTCGCCGTAAGCTTTCCATTACCCCTCATTCTTGCTTTATCCCTCTGCTTCCCCCTGCTTTCCCCCTTCCCAGACTTGATTCCCCCCAGTCCTTTGGTTAGTTGCGTGCACCACCAGATCATCGGGAACAAACACACAAAGAAGGAAACAAGACGAAAAAAAAAAAAAAGAGGAATTAATCCTCATAGTCCTTATTTTATTGCTGGTCTTTACATTTTCAACCGCCTCGCTTCGGGACAAAGAGGACAAAGCTAATAAGACAAAAAAAAAGTATAATACTGTTTTGAGGTTCCCTTAACTTTTCCGAGATAAAATCTCGTTCGCGTTATAATGCCTGGTTCTGCTCAACATTACTCGCCCCCTCGTCACTCTGGTGGACGCTATCCCCGGCACAATCAACATCGAGGAAGAAGAAGTACCGAGAGAGATAGGGAACGAGACAGAAGAATGTCAGAGGAGGACACTGTTAGCTATTCGCCCGATATTCCACGCTTTTCGACAGGCGGCGATGCCGCCATCGAGGAAACTCTTCAGGCAGATTATCATTCCGCTAGGAACTCGAGGTTATCGACCGTTAGCTCTGAGGTGAATAAGAAATTCTTAATCCGCTGATGAAAGCGTTGACTACAACGAATATGAGAGGTTGCTGTCAAAATTGGATTGATCAATGATATCAATACAATCGAACACAAGAAAAGAGAGCGATGGACAGAGAGGGCTGACTCGATTTGATAATTTCTGGCCAACGGGTCAGCGGCAGGAAGCATTCACAAATATTTGCGAGACCGCTTGCGATCAACAACATTCTCAGTCCACCAGGAAGAAGGCTTTGTCTTATCTGTTTGAGCTATTCTCGCAATTCGGAACCACATGGTCAGCTAATAGGATTTCTCACCTTCTCAATGATCCTACAACAAACACTGAAGTCATCCTCCTCCCTCCATTGGCCTTTGTCTTTTTCGTTTCTCCTCTAACGCGCGCCCAATAGATCCACAACTTAATAATTGGCAATGCGCGTTTGATAATCTCAAAAGCCACTTCGGGGTCATTCGACGCTTTGATAAGCACCGTTGCTGGAAGTCTCTCGGCTTTGACCACATCAGACTCCCAGGTCCATCTAACAGCACTTTATTTGGTCAAACATCACCCCGAGAATTTTTTCGGCTCACTCTTTTCTTCAACCAATATCGAACGGGGATCCCTAAAATGGGTTGTAAGGTCGTACCCTCAACTCAAATCGGAAATCTTTCCCGTCTATCCCCGGGCTGAGGAGGAATTAACGAAATATCTTGATATTGCATCCGCTCGACTCAGTGAGGCCATCAACAAAGCAATTACTGCCCTTGATGCGCTAGGATCGATCAAGCCTTTCTTGGAGATGTGGTCGGAGTTGCTTAAGGTTCCCGGGGAGGCTGGTGCTGTGATTGTTGGAACGGCAATCGATTCTCTCCGGAATCGGACAAGCCATCTGACCCCTTTATTGGATCTTGGTCACAGAGATGTTGATGACCGCTTGCTGGGGGATCACAATAGTATCCCCCCTGCGGACGGTAGTGTTAAAGACCATCCACACTCTGAGCCAGTTACACCACTTAAGAGAGGGTTCGAGGGGTCCCAGGGTTCATCCGAGGCCAAGCGTAGTCGATACGATCAGGAGGCCACTAGTCCCCGAGCTCCAAGGGATAGCCGACCGCTGCCTCGCGGGGCTCATAGTGGTGTGAGTACTGGACATTACAGGGGTGGCTATCAAGGCAGAAACTATGTTCCTGGATACAGAACAAGAGGCAGTAGTAGTGGCGGTAGGTATCGAGGTGCTGGAGGTGGAGGAGACTATTATAGGTCTCATAATTCCAGGTCGAGGTACGCTCCGCGCGAGTCGGATCATGGGAGCAATAGGGCTTTTCATGATTAGGGCATCTCATACATTCTTCACTTGTATTAAATACACCCTGTTCGTTTACCATTATTACTTTTAACGTCTATTGATCTGTTATTTTTCCGGGCGAAATGTGGACGAGTGATCTGTAGTGCACCCGATTCCACTACTTTTTTTTTTTTTTTCGACCACTCTTCTTTCTAGCGATAATGAATAAGGGTGCTTATGCTTTTTGCCATATATTTACTTTTCTTTCTCATGATATCATACGATCCAGGTGCTCCTTATCCCTATCCTATGGGACGTTCTGATTCCCGTTCTCGAGGGACAACATTCAGGGCGAGAATGGGCATTTAACGTTACTATCCGTTATACTTCACGTGCTTTCCTACCTTGCAATTACCGGAGGCTCGAATTCTCTCCATGCGGTACTGCAAAGCAGGAACCCATGGTTTCCTAAAACGAATGGAATATTCCCGCCCAGTTCTCGCAGTCCATTGGTTAAGCTCTTCATCCTCGAGTAGGAAGGTACGAAATTCTGGGTAGGGCTTGCTATTTACGCCCTGGCTGTGTTGCCCATTCCCATTTGCGGGCACTACTTCTCCCTCTGCAGAAATGACATAAGTGCAGTGCTTCATATAGAGTGATATGGCGGCCAGAAACAAAAAACCCGCCACTAAGCGACAGGGGAGGAATGAATGACCAGTTTGTCCTACAGCCTGCCTACCTAGTACCGATGCTCTACCAGGTAAGGGGTTTCCGTCTTTATGTATGATATGGTGCTGGGAGGGAAGCATTCTTCCCGGCGGTTGCCTTCTAGAAGACCCATTCTCGCATTCGAAACGATAACGATATACCTATCGTATATCCCCGTTTCTCGGCGAAACTATACGGTAGGCTAGTACCCGTGGGAGGTTTCTCTTAGAGCCTGTGTGGCACGGGCGGCAGTCTATTAGAGGACATTATATGGGTGGATAAATGAATATATAGCCCGGGAAACCCACATCTTTACACGGAGTTTAGGGATATCATTAGGGGATTTTTCATCAATTCATTGAGTCGGCCAGTCAATCAATAAAGTCCCGGACTTTGCAACTTTTCAGCCATTCACTCGCTATATTTATTTCATACTTTTTTTTTTTTTGGCTCGTTCCGGACCAACCTACGGAGAGTTCCCATCTACAAGAAAGGGGGAAACAAACGACCCAATAACGCTCACGCTCCGAAGACATCTTCCCAAGTGAAGAGGAAAAATAATGTCCGGAGCAGAAATAGTCCTGGGTGTAGCCGGCCTTCTCGGCCCACTGATGGCCCCCCCGTTGGAATCCGCATTCCGCAACTTACGGAAACCACATTACAGCAGCCGCCACGCGCGCGAGGAGCTGCGAGGGAACTTCACAGACTCCTGGTCTACCCTGCAAGGGAGCCTGAGCAGACTGGCCCCAGTGCTGGGAACGCTCATGCACGATGACCCTGACAGGCGGAAGGTACTGCGCGAAATGGAGAAGGCGACCAAGGCCCTCAGGAAGATTAACAAGGGGCTCTTGGGGTGTAAGCCCATCAAAAGAGTGCTCAGGGAACAGGAGAAGACCGAGAAGATTGTGAGTGCCGTTAGGAAGAGGATATGTGAGGGTGATGGTGAGGAGAGGCAAGGGGAAGTAGAGCAGGAGGGGGGGGATAAGAGGCATAGTAGGATTGACCACAGGAAGATAAAGGATAGATTAGGGCCGTTGATAGTTGGTGGAAAGGGCAGGCATTCGGTATCAAATAAGTCTTCCTCTTCCCCTACTCCTCCCCCTGCACCTGCACCCCCTCTGACCCCTCTGACCCCAACCCCCCCTTCACCTCCATCTCCTCTCCCCCATCCACTTCTACCCCCTTCATTTCTCTTTCTC